ACTTGTTCTTCCACGTTTGCCCACCTACCCCGCATTCTCAATTCTGCATACAGTAGCAGGGCCACCTTTTAAAAACAGAAATCAGATCTGGCCAGACTCCTTCCCAAACCCCAGTGGCTTCGTCTGGGTAAGATCCCAAGTGCCTCCCAGAGTCCCAGCCCCTAGGTGACCTGGCCCTGCCTGTGTCTCCCTTACCCCTGAGTGCTCCCCTCCTACCTGCCCCTCCCGGCAGATGGCCTTCCCGCTGTTCCAGCTCAGGCCCGGCTGGGAGCCTTCCCCCTTGGTCCCTCTGCCCCAGGGAGGCTCCCTTCCATCTCCTGATAGCCCCCACGTGGTGCCATCTGTGCTCCAGCCTCGCCTCCTCACAGCGCCATCCCCACGGCAGCCCCCTCACCCCCACCCGGCTCTGCCCGCCTGCACGGCTCACACAGCGGGTGACCGGGTACATTCCGCACGTGTCCAGCCGTCTCCCGGACCCCAGTGAACCCTCTGAGCACAGGGACTCAGTTGGTCTTAATCATTTCTAAGTTCTACAATACTGACACGTAGTAGGTACTTGATAAATATATGTTAAATGGACGAATCAATGATTAAGAAATTATATAAATTTTTAAACATTGTATTTTACCTTAAAACACATATATGGTCACTTACTAGCCAGTATTTTGACACAGGACCCAAGCCTTTCCTCTGAGGGTGGTGCCCTCACTGGGGATTCTGGTTGTCTCCCTTTTTTTCTTTTTTTGGCATAAATCACACCTGTAATGTGTTATCTACAATTTCAAATTTCAATTTCTTTAAAGCAGCATGAGATCTTAAAGACTCTTGAAAAACAATTTCAATACAGAATCCTCTCATTTTTAAATTGCCCCCTGTCCTTGGGTCTCCTTTGCACTTAATTTAAAGCAGATCTTTAAGCCAACTTACCTTTATTGAAAAGTCTTTCCAAATCATTCAACTTAGTTTTCAAAGAAGCAGCTCTCGCTTTTACACTCATTATGTTAGTTTACACAATATTTAATTGGCTAACATAGAACGTAATCCAGCTTCTTGAGTACGATAACGAACTATGAGCATAAGCTGGTTTAGGAACAAACATCGCTCACCCCAAAGGCGTGCAGGAGAGCTGGAGGGTGCAGGTTCACTGCCGCCTGCCAGCGGGTTTGCTCCAGTGAGACAGCTTAGAGGAGGTCAGAAAATAGGGCTCCTTCTGTGGAACACAAGTCCCTGAACCAAGCACGTGGCCACTCTGCTGGAAACTGCTCTGGGTCCCCCAGGGGAGAACAGGAAAAGCAAAACTAGGGCAGCAAAGTGTAGCAAGAATCCAAATAGAGCCTAGGCGAGAAATTTCCTCCACCCTTCTGGCCAGGGAACCATCCTTTGTGAGAAGAAACTAAAGTTAGTATGAGACCCATGGCGAATGCTGGGTTTCCATAAGTAGTTATCCTATTTTATTGATTAGTAAACTGAACTTAGCTCTTGGCCTCCAGTGAGAATGACCAAGCAGTCATCCTCAATTCTTTCGTGGTCCTTTAAAATTTTTGGGGGGGGATTAGATTTACTTATTTATTTTTGGAGGAGGACCTTGCGCATGCTAAGCATGCGCTCTACCACTGAGCCCCTCCTCACCTTTAAATTCTAAACAAATTCCTCCCTGCAGGTATTACTGAACACAGACTTCTGAACCCAGAGTGAACCTAACTTTGAAGTCCTGCTTTCCTCCCTTGATAACATTGTATACAACCCCGATGTCTCAGTCACCCTGTTCTGTCTGTCACCTACGTGCTGATGAGAAACACTGGCCTCAGCTGTAGGTCCTGTCACTTGCTGACACCCGCTTCCTCACCTCACCCTACTGGGGCCGCACCTTGGGGGTGACTCGCGTGCACACCGGTCAGCAAGTGTCCTCCTCCTCCTGCTCAGACACATGGGCTTCAGGAGCCCTGCTCTTCCGAGCCCTGGTCCGCAAACCTGCACCTTGGCCCCCATGTGGGAAGGGTACCGAGCTCTAAAAGCAAAGGTAAATGTTGTGATTCTTCAGGCAAAATTTTAGCTACAGCTTTTGAAAAATCTATCTATATTAATTTTAAAATTTTTTATACAATTTTAAAGGTTAATTTCTATTTACAGTAATTGCAAAATACTGGCTATCTTCCCTGTGTTGCACAATACATCCCTGAGCTTCCCTTACACCCAACAGTTTGTTCCTCCCCCTCCCACCCCTACAGTGCCCCTCCCTGCTTCCCTCTCCCACTGGAAACCACTAGTTTGTTCTCTGTACTTGTGAGTCCGCTTCTTCTATGTTATAGTCACTAGTTTGTTGTCTTTTTTGGATTCCACATATAAGCAATATTATAAGTTGTTTATCTTTCTGTCTGACTTATTTCACATCACATAATGCTCTCCAAGTCCATTTGTGTTGCTGCAAATGGCAAAATTTTGTTCTTTTTTTTAAATTGAAGTATAGTTGATTTACAATGTTGTGTTAAAATTTTTCATTCTTTTTTGTGGCTGAGTAGTATTCCATTGCGTGTATGTCCATTAGCTACAGCTTTCAAGGCAGTTTTTCAGTCCTCCTTTGGAATGAGAAGGACAAAGTTCACAGCCAAGACCCTTTCCTTTGGGGCACTCACATGGGTGTTTATGACACCTGTTTTCTTCAGACCATAGCTAGGGTCCAGACCCTCCCCTTTTCAGGCGGAATGACCAGTCAGTTTGTTAGATGCAGGTAGAAGCTAGTTCTGCTGCTTTGACCCACAGGACGGAGTCCCTTTCTGAATGACCTGGTAATGGTGACCTGCAAAGTCGTTCTAGCAGCAAACCCAGGACATGGCGTGCCGACCTGCTCACGGGTGAGAACAGACCAGGAAAGAGGCAGGCGCATTCCGCCCGCCCAAAGGGCACGGACCCTTTCCGGGACCTCAGACCAGATGCCAGGCAACATTCGAAGCAAGCGGCCACTTCCCCTGTCCTGAGTCACCCTCATCACTTGGCTTCCTTAGGAGTTTGCTTGAAGAGAAAATAGGCTGTTCAGGCCAACACACACGCTTGTCTGTTCGGCAGGTTTATTTTTCATCATAAATTAGTAAGATGACATTCAGAGTTCTCCACTTCACTCTCAGCATGTCTGTCTCTCTGAGACCAGTCACCTCAAGGGTTCTGACAAAATAGTTCTGAACTTGTGAGGCTGAAGGCCAGACCCCAGAGAAGACACTTCAGTGAGGCTCCCCGACTTCTGGTCAGCCCGTCCCGGTGGATGAGGACACAGTGCGGGGGTCCTCGGCCCTGACAGTGCCTGCTTCCCTGTTTAAAAGAATATGGAACATAGAATTCCTAGGAGAAGATACAGGCTCTTTGACATCAGTCTTAGCAATCTTTTTTTGGATCTGTCTCCTCAGGCAAGGGAAACAAAAGCAAAAACAAACAGATGGGGCCACAACAAACTAAAAAGATTTTTGCACACCAAAGGAAACCATCAGCAAAATGGAAAGGCTGCCTCCTGGATGAGGGAAGGTCCTTGCAAGCAATGTATCTGATAAGGGGTTAATAGCCAGAATATGTAAAGAACTCACCCAGCTCAACACACACACACACACACACACACACACACACACAAAATCTGATTAAAACATGGGCAGAGGACTTGAATAGACATTTTTCCAAAGAAGACATGCAAATGGCCAACAGGCACATGAAAAGATGCTCAACATGGCTAATCATCAGGGAAATGCAAATCAAAGCCAAAATGAGGTATCACCTCCCACCTGTCAGAATGGCCGTCATCAAAAAGACACGAAATAACGAGTGCTGGTGAGGATGTGGAGAAAAGGGAACCCTTGTGCGTTCTTGGTGGGAATTTAAATTGGCTCAGCCAGTTCAGAACTATTTTGTCAGAACCTGTATGGAGATTCCTCAAAAAATTAAAAATAGAACTACCATATGATCCAGCAATCCCACTTCTGAGTATTTGTCTAAGGAAAATAAAAACACTAATTGGAAAAGATATATGCACCCCTATGACATTTTGATGGACCTAGAGGGTATTGTGCTAAGTGAAATAAGTCAGACAGAGAAAGGCAAATACCATGTGATTTCACTTATATGTAGAATCTAAAAAACAAAACAAACATAAAACAGAAACAAACTCACAAACAGGTGGTTGCCAGGTGCAGGGAGTTGCGTGAAACAGGTGAAGGTGGGTGAGAGGTACAGAGCTCCAGCGGTAAAGCAAGTGAGTCACGGGGACCTAACAGTCAATAACGTTGAGACGACCTTGTGTGGGGACAGATGGTTACTAGACTTACCATGGTGCTTAATTCGTAATGTATATAAACGTCAAATCACTATGTTGTATACCTGAAATATTTAATATTGTGCATCAACTATCCTTCAATTAAATAAAAAAGGAAAGATGAACGCCCAGCCTCAGCCCAGATGAGTGAAAAGCAGAATCTTTGGAGGCGAGGCTGGGACAGTGGCTTTTCTTAAAAGCCCCCTGGGAGAGTCTACTGAGCTGCAGGAATTAAGAACCACTGGCTTCGTGTATTTCTCTTTCTAAGATGAAGACAGAGCCCTTGGGTGCTGGAACCCATGTGAACAGTCTTCTGATCTGAATTCTACTAAACACTAGTAACAGGGCTGGTTACTATACACTGAGGGCCTAATTTGTGTCAAGCACTGTGTTACGCCCTTTTCTATACGGTATCTGAAAACCCAAAACAATCCTGCAGGGTAGACATTTTTAGCCTCATTTTTAAAAGTTTTAATTTATCTTGGTTTTTTAGCTCAGAAAACACAAAGGTGAAGTCACGTGATCAAAACTCACACAGCTGGTTAAGTAAAGAGGCCAGTATCTCAGCCCGGGTTTATCTGATTCCGAAGTGCGAGCCTTCCCCTCTGCCAAGTCTCTCAGCCCCTCGTGACTGTAGGAAGCACGATTCCAGTGTCCAGGTCAGTAATGCTTTTCCCCAAAATTCCACCCATAGAAAATCCGAGCTGGGAAGACCGTGCCTCCAGAGACAGATGACGTGAGGCAAACTGTTGTGTTCAAAAGACTCCACTCATTTCTTAACCACCATCTAATTTTCTAGAACAGCATACCAGAGGCTAATTTTGAGCTGAATTACATTTGTATTTTTAATCAAGGGGCCAATGTTATTGACGAGGTAATAACCCGCCCTCTCTGTTTACTTTAATCCTTGAGCAAACAATAACTTCCCCCATGAAACTCACTCTGACCTTGAATCTGGGGACTCATGGCAGTGCCTGAGCCTGGAGACGCCCGGAACAGTGGCATTAGGTGCATAAAACATCAAAAAGGAGAGCCTCTCAGCTGCGGAAGGAGCTCTGAGGTGGAAAGATCTGCAGTTACGGCCAGAAGCGCCTGTGCGCGTGGGGAGAGGCCTCCTGCGCTCTCCGCCCCCAGGCTGACTGACGGCCCTGGGGCTGAGTCCACAGAGGACGGGCGCACGGGCTCCCGCCTCCCTAAGCACTGCTGGGAAACCAAAGCGCTGGGCTGAGTTATCCAGACGCGGGTCTGCAGGGAACTCTGCTCACTTCCCACGCTGCTCTCAAAGGGAAAGTCCTTTTATAAACCGGAGAATCAGGCTTCAGCGTCAGTGCCCGTGGCACACACCGTGTCTTGGGACGCTGTCGTCCACGGTGCAGGCGCGGGAAGAACACTCCTAGCCACACAGGCAGGTGGTCTGTTCAGACGGCTTCCTTAGCGTCCCAAGTTTGTGACGGTTTTCCATTTTTGTGCTCTCGAACCTCCGACCCCCAGCCTTTCCCCTGAGACCTCTTCCGTGGGAACAACGGGTCCATCTGATGTTTCGTACAGAGCCTCCGTGGGAGGCTCGTAAATATTG